ACTGTCACGCCAACATATACATATATGCATGGAAGCACCATCTTTACTCAAGTCTCTCTTTACCTCTATATGTTCCTGCTCTCTTTGCCCTTACTCCCACCATTATTTATTTATTTATTTATTTATTTATTTATTTATTTATTTATTTATTTATTTATTTATTTATTTATTTATTTATTTATTTATTTGAGATAACATCTTCGCTTTGAAGGCTGATGTCAGCACCTGTCATGATGGCAAATTGCTAGCATTCACCAGACTAATACCAGAGCCCTTTTGATTGTATTTATTGACTGGAATCCTGTTTGCTTGTTGTGCATGTAGAAGGAAAACAGCATAACATTGTGTTTCTTCTATCAGGCAATTAAAAGGTCACTTCTGGATTCTTGGGAGTACACAAACACTACTGGCTTGGAACATGTTTAAGAATACTAACATGGATTTTTTAATTATGCACGTGGAAGTTAAACCTCCACATGCATAACAAAGCAGCAGGATTTAAATAGTTAGATTATTCTTTTACATTTTGGAGTGTGGCTCTGAGAGGAGAAACTTTGACTGAAAGAGCTGCAGCTGCCATTTTAATTTTCTCAGAAAGCCTTCAGGCAACAGCACAGGGTCAAGGGGCATTTTGGAAACAATATGCTAGCTACCTTAAGAACTTCACCCATATTTCAAAAAAAACCCGCTAGGCTCTCCACTACTAGTAGTCAGCCCAGCTATCTATGACAACATCACCATCTCCTCTGATTCCAGGTAAGATGAGGGAGAGCCCCATAGAAATGCTAGGAGTGTGAAATGCTACTTTCCCAGGATCTCCCTTATGAATAAAAATGGTTAGTAAGAGCAAAATATTCCAATGACATATTTTTTTAAAAAATCAAGAACTAAAAACAGTGAGGTCTGCAGCTATACTGGCTTCAATTGTTAGGGACGGAATTTTAGGACTCACAGACTAAGAAGTCACCTAGAATCCCCCAGACAGATTTTTGGAATTGGGAAAGAAGAAAGAAGGCATAGAAAGAAGAGAAATGCCCTCTCAGTTGCACTGCTTACTTTCACTGCTCACTCCTCCATGAGAGGGTAGTTTATTGACGCTCCTCCTATAGAATCTAATGGGTACCAAGACTAGCCTTCCCAGCAATGGAGCAATGCAATAATTCTCAGAAAGCATTGTGAGTGAAAGAATGTGCCCTTCTTCCAAGCCAAGCTGGGAAATACCCCCTTTTGTCTTCTTCTTTCCCAATCACAGAAAAGTTAGGTGATTCCTAGGGCTGGGAGTACTGAAATTACAAAAATGCCATCCCAGTCGGTTTTAGCTTCAGGGCTAGTGTAGGTGACTGGTCAAAACTGGGAATAGAGCAGCTTTGGATACTCCCCAGTCTGTCCACAATATGTTCCATTGGTGGCTACTCTGCATGCTTTTCTCCTCTGCTTTCTGTATCAGCAAAGGAGAAACAGTGTGCCATTTTCCTTCAGCCATCAACGTTAGAGAGTAAGACTAGTATTCTTATTCATTTTTTTGCATAGTACTAAAAATTATTGGCTGGAATCCTTTTGCCAGGGGTTGTGATATATATGGCTGATTACATCTTCAGCGAATGTGAATGTTCAAAAATTTAAAAAATCTTATCCTCCTTGAATGTCCTGAAGCTCCTTTGAGATCTTTTCATCTTGGAAAAGCCATTTATATATCGCCCAGAGTGGCCTTGGCTGCCAGATGGGCAGTATATAAATCAAATCAATAAATAAATAATTGGGGGTTGTGGGAATGGGGGAGGTCTACTTTCTCATAATTGCTGGCAGTAGGGTGATTCAGTGGCAGAAATTTTGGAAGTTACAGACCCCACTGTCTTGCAGCCCCAAAATCTTCTCTATGATGAAAGTGATTCCAAGGAAACCTTGGGAATTGAGGAGGAAAAGGATAGGAAATTCCTAATTTCTGAAAAATCACCACAGCTAATGACACCATCAGCCTTACAGGGCATACCTTGTGCAACAGAATTTCAGCCCTTGGATCACTCATAGCTCATATACCTAATTCATAGCTAAACATTTCATTGTGACCATTTTGGAAACACTTTGTTTATCTTTAATTACCTAAGAACTGACTGGAAAATTCTGAGCAAATACAAGGTTTAAGGGAGGATATATTTTGTTTTAAAAAATTACATTTTCAAATTAATTTTTTTGCTGTGCATTCAATAAATGGAAAATGAAAAAAAAATAGCTTCAAAAATACAGGTTAATGGCTGAAATCCTATTCTACTATGGCATAACTTTTGGAGGCAAATTGCCTGAAGTTTATAAGTCTCCATAAAAGTTATCTGTTGAATATTGAGGTGCACTTAGTATGCATCAGATAATGTCTGCAGGGATTTCTTAAGTTGAGGTAATTCACCCCCAAAAGTTATGCTTTATTCACTACAGTGCCACAGGATTTCAGCAATTGTGTCCAAGCTAATAAGAGATGTTTCATTTTTCTTATTAAAGTATTATTTCAATATTCATCATTATATTTGCCACACATATTTGCCACACAAACACCCATGTTTGATTTCTGAGTAATGAGATGACCTTGGTAGTTGTGCATGTTAAAGGAGGATTAACAATTAATTTATATTTCTTGATTTGCATCCAGTCCCTTGATTTGCTGCTTGTTCTGCATGTTATTCTTCCTAACTTGGTATTTAGTAAAAATGAAGTCCAGCTTGCTAAAAATTATATCTTGGGATGGGGTGGGAAGTGAATACAGTTATTGAGAAAAGTGAAATCCATAGAAATTTATTTCCTACCTGCTGCCTTGGAACTTTTAAATATACAGTACTGTATACGTAGGCTCTCTGGTAGTAGTTTAATAAAGCATACAGTATTGTCATAGCTATTGTGTTTTAGCCGCACATTCCAAGCATAATGGAAAGTTTTAAAGCTGTTTTAAACTTTTTATTTAACTAACGGAAATGCAAACCAAACCCCTCTCTATTTCTTAGTTTATCGCAAGCAGGTGTAGTATGTATAGTTTTCACTTATCTCTTTCTCTCATGTACTGCCCACTTTTAATGAATCAGCTGCTTGCATTCTGAGGGCAATACATAAACTGTCACAGCATGAAATCAATTTTCTGCCTTGATTCCTTCTAAATATGAGAATTTCTAGCACATTAGTATTGCAATTAGAAGCATTAAGAGCAGACAGTTGCAAAAGGCATACTCTGCTCCATGACAATTTCAATTTTTTCCTTTTGCAGGGTAGCTCATAGGAACCCCAGGAAGGGACAGACATGAAGCCATATTATATTAATAAATTTATAATTTCATAGTTAAGAGAAATGTATTTTCCTCCCCTTTTGCTTTGCCTCTGTGGTCATGCTGCTGCTAAGACAGATTATTCATGCTTACTTGATTCAGGTGGGCTTTTTGCAAGCTTCCCCACTAGGCCTGGGAATGTGGTACATTGGGGTCTATTCATAGGCTTCTGATGTAGCTAGGCTTTTATTGCCTGGTGTTTTATTGCTGCCAAATCCTAGTCTCCACCCAGTTTGTAGGCACTGTGCTCATTCTTTAGAATCAAGAAAGGTTATCACCTATCTTAATCCATGCAACTGTGTGGATTAGGGACACCAATGTTCCCCAGGCGTCTCAAAGAGGATCCTGGAAACTTCTTGTTTCTTCTGTTTTGCTGTCTTTACTAAACTCTCTTGGGCCTCAGCAAGGATTTGCATCTGAAATAGGCAACCTGGAGCTTTTCTCAATGAAGACATCAGATCAAAGTTCAGTTAGTCAAGGCCTTTCTAAAACATTGAGGAGGCTTGGACTTACACAATAAAAAGATGAGCTCTGGCAGAGATTGCAGTGAAAACATTCTGATCTGTAATCCGGATAAAGGATAGATTATAGGCCAAAGAACAGCACTTGTTTAAATTGCTTTGAGAACCCCAAAACTAAATAACTTGGAAGTTCTGGATTTATTTTTAAACAATGAACTTATTTGATTTGATGGTAACATTTTCTGTATTATTATATCATGTAAAATATTTTTGTATGTAATAATTTACAATAAAATGAAAGCTCAGATCATAATTTTGAAGCAATTGCCAAGCATCTTGTGCTTTATAGTATAACATGAAGTAAATATATTTGAACATGATCATTACATTTTTTGGAATTATTTTTATCACTAATAAATGTCATTGTGTTTTTAATGTAGCTTAAAGCTTTACATGAAAAATTGTTTGCTTCTTTTAAAAAAAGAATTCCTTATTAAAGAAGGTGATTATTTTATATTTTATTTTTGCCACATAAAAATAAGAACAAAATGTTTGGTGCAGACAGACCTCTAATTAAAGATAAAGATTAAAGATAAACATAAAAACATAAAAACAAAAAAACATAAAAATAGCTGATATTTAGCAAAGTAGTTCTTTGTATACAAATGGATATCCACAAGCCTGGCCAGTTTTCTACAAAATGGAGCAGGGAAGTATAAAATTAAGACATTTGCCAGAACGAGGCATTTGAATAGTGGTGAGCAATATTTACCTAATTTATTTTCCTGTAACTCTTTAGTAAACAGAGCTGTATTTATTTCTAATGCATATATAATATTTGAATTAGTGTCTTAGTATAATATCAATGGTGCTTCTCAGTGCAATTGTGTTGCCATTTATTCAAAGTAAGTTCTCCTGAGTTTCATGGAAATTACTGCAAGGTAAATGTGGGTAGATTGCAGCAATTTGTTCCTCCTTTTTATTTCATTGAATTTGGAATAAGTACAATTTACATCAGAAGATCCTTAATGTGTTTAGATAGCAGTCTTATTTATCTGCATGTGTTTAGATAGCAGTCTTATTTATAGTATATTTTAAAAGGGGAGAAAAATAAGAGAAAAATATTATATGGAAGATATTGGAAAGTTAATTTAAAATTGAAATTCATTAACAGTACAATTAAAAAAACCCAGTCTTGTTCAGTTTTCAGCAACCAGGGGAGCCTTTGCCTAGCTTAAGTTTGTATTTATACTGTGCCTGGTTACATTATAAATGTAATATTATTTACTTTTATATACTGTACCAGAAACATAGGGCTACTTTGTGACTATCACATTAAAAATAATCCGTATTAGTTCATGCTGTTACCTGTGAGGTTTTTAATAGCAAAACTAACTATAGACTCCTCTACCCTTCTGTGGTTACAGTTGCCACATATTGGTTCGGGAAGCACCTGTGTGTGGACCAGATGATGATTGGCATGTGAAATAAATAAAGAGGACTCTCCATCTTATAGTCACAATGAATAGACGAATCCTGATTTAGTCTTTCTGTTCCATTCAGAGCAAAATAATTATTTATTTATTTGGACATAAATTTGTCTACCTTTTCTTAAACATTTTGACTGAAATCCTGTTGCTTAGCGTAGCAAGTTGCAACTACAGTACTCCCACTGAATTCATGGTGATCTGGTGAGTCAAGTTCTTTGTAAGTTCCACTGATTCAAATGGGTCTACTAAACAGGATTTCAGTCTTTGTTTAACATGCAATGTAAAAGAAAATTCCCATGTTCAAAGCATTCTGGAACAGAGATGTTTAATATTGCTGTAGCTTAGATGTGGGCAACATGCTGTGTTCCAGATGTTCTTGAACGGCAACTTCTGTGATGCCTGGAAGTTGCAGTCTTTTCTCTTCAAATAAAAGTGGGTGATATCATCATAATGTCCAGAACAGCTTGGTAGAAACTGGAAACTTCTTATCCTTTTCAATATTCCCAAAGCACGTTTGCATCAGTTTGCAGGCAGTCTGTATAGGCATCCTTCAGTCTGGAGAGACTATGGTAATGTGCTCTGAATAGAGGTCTTGGAGCAGCGTCTGGTGTGGCTGAGAAGGCCAATTCGAGAGTGACAATCCCTTCCACACTAAAGACAAATACAACCTGTCCCCTGTACAGCTTGCTGATTTTGCTGGTTTTGGGACTGCCTCTCTGCCTTGGCCTGCTGAACAATTTTGAAGAGACATTTGCAGGCAGAGTTAGAACACTTAAAAATAAAATCAGTAGGGCAACAATACCTGCCATAATTCTATGTCTTGCATTGTACTTTGACTTCCTGCTTCCATATGCACACTCGCAGCAGCATGGAAGCTGCTTCCATGTTGTGTGAATTCACCAGGAAGAAAGCATGATTTAAGTACAGTGGTGCCTCGCATAGCGAACGCTTCGCTATGCGATGAAACCGCACAACGATGGGTCCTGGGCCATCGCTGGAGCGTTCGCTCAGCGATGGCCCCTATGGGCTTTTTTCGCTATGCGATGATCGCACGGACGCGATCAAAGCATAGCGAACAGCTGATCGCCGGTTCCAAAATGGCCACCGCTAAAACAAAATGGCGACCGCTGTTTTGCCTCGCTAACGAGGCATCCAAAATGGCCGCCGCAATGGAGAAAACTCGCAGAACGGTCAGTTTTAAGTCCATAGGAACATATTAAATCAGTTTTAATACGTTCCTATGGGCTTTTTTGTTTCACTTATCGATGGGTTCGCTGAGCGAGGGTTAATCCGGAACAGATTAACCTCGCTAAACGAGGCACCACTGTAAATAGATAGCTGGGCCCAGTGTGCTAGGCTTTCTGCACCTGCTCAGCACTCTTGTAGACTTGCCTGCATTGTTGCTTAATTGTCATATGCACACATGAATAATATCCAATGGCTTAGGTTTGTACCATGAAGAAGCTTCCATGCTGTGATGTATATGTATATTTATGTAAAAGGATGTAAAAGGAGGAGCAAAAGAGGCATAATTTCATTAAAAGTCATTACTTCACTAGAATTAGTGTGTAAAGGGTTTCTAAAACCTGTTTGAAAATTAGCTATTGACATTTTGAAGTTCGATGTATTATTTTAATAAAGATAATTTGTTTTCATTGACCTTTAATTCAGTCAGCATGTTTTCATACTGTTGCAGACACCCATTTCAAAATGTGGACATTACTTCGATTTGTCAAGAACAATAACTCCAGAACTGCTCCAGAATATCAAGTGGGATGGTTTTTCTCTTCTTCAAGAAATAGATTCATGGTGAGTTCGCAGTGTTCTTCATTTTGGTTAACTACACAATGAAAGGGCAGATTTATGATGATAAATTGTGCGAAATTGGTTTACTGTTCATAGTAGGTTGGCCATTATAAATACTAGTTGCCCCACCTTCTCTTCCTGCCTGTACTTCAGTGTCCTGTCCTGATTTTGACTGCATCTCTTAAGTGGAGTAATTCTATATTGGATGTTCAAGCTTCTGCTACATTCATGAGATGGCTGCTCATGGCCCTGACCTGATCCTTCTCTTGTCGCAAATATCCGTATTACTGTACTATGATTAACATTAGTTCTGAAGCCATTGGGTTGAATCAAGAGAAGCACTGGCAGATGGGTGTCAGAGGAAAATGAGTCTTCCATTCCCTTCTCAAGTATTCTCACCCACCCCAGTCTCACGCCAATGTTTGGAGAGCATTCTGAATTTGATCTGCTGTGGTGTGGGACGTTGAGGGGGGAAAGAAGAGGCTAAGTTGCTTTGCAGGTTGGATCACTATGGTGAATGGAAAAGGGAAGAGTATAGTCTTCAGCCTGATGGTTTTCCTAAATGAATGACTTACCCCTTACTCAAACAAAATACTAGTACACTTGACCCTCCTGCCTTGTCTCTCCTGTAGCTTATATTAAAAATGAGAAAGTTGATAAGAATGCTGATTAGGAAAATATTGTTGCTAGATGATGGCTATGTGGAAAGGAGGAGGAGCTGAATATTGCAAAGAGCCTTGATATATCTCTGGGTGTTCCACACAAATGCATATTTCTTGGATCCTCTCCTGCCCAAATGTTGAGCAGAAGGGAACAGATGCTCCCACCATAGTGCTTGCAAGTGCAGCACCTACTTTTTGTTTTCTGTAGGACTGAACATTAGCTATGTATATGAGGGAGTAAGGTGTTCATTCATGGTCACCTTCAGGTAATGAGTACTGTTCTCTTCTCTTTCCTGTTCACCATGCTTATTCACACCACTGCCTCTGCCTTGATTTAAGCCACCAAGAATCAAGGCTGCCTCCCCACTTCCCCGTCAGTTGCTTTTGAAACAGCACACCTATTGTCATTGCTAAATGATGTGATTAATTAAGCTTGATTTTAAACTCTATTTTTTAAAATTATCTATCACAAACATAAACAGTTATATAGAACTGGTTCACTATGTTTTGGATGCAAAGCTATATGTGCAACAGCTGTTCAGCAGAATCCAGTCAGATGAAGGCTTCTGGACTGTTCTATGACATGTGTCATGTATGACATCTAGATACCATATAGCCATTGTTAAACCTTGTGTTTGAAGATAAACATTCATTCTGTTTTTTCAGTATACTTCATTGCAAAAATGAGTGTGAATGGGCATCAGTGATTAGGCATCTGTGTTGACTTTTCTGGGCTGATCCTCCAGTATTTTTTGTTATTCTTCTCTTCCTTACAATATTTGCTTCTTTCCCCCCATCTTACAAGAGATAACTGTTGTTATTTCACCCACATGCTTAAACACACAAGATGTAGGTCGACAAACAGTCACAAATACAATGGGTGAACTTTAATCCATCAATTTTCTTTTAGCTCTGCATTTCTAAGATTGGTTGTTGTGGGTTTTTCGGGCTCTTTGGCCGTGTTCTGAAGGTTGTACTTCCTAACGTTTCGCCAGTCTCTGTGGCCGGCATCTTCAGAGCACAGCACTCTGGCCACAAAGACTGGCGAAACGTTAGGAAGAACAATCTTCAGAACACAACCAAAGAACCCAAAAAACCCACAACAACCATTAGATCCCGGCCGTGAAAGACTTCGCAAATACACTTCTAAGAGGATGTGGCAGAAAGTATAAATAGGCAAACAGGTGTGTTTAAAACTGGACAGGTAGTTTTCCCACAAGAGAAGTTTTAAAAGAAGAAGTGACATTGGGAGAATTGCAAAAACCAATCCTAAACTTCTCACTTTCTTTGAGACTGCTTGTTTTGACCCAGAACAGTGTAAAGTATATGGACACAGGAAGAAACGAATTAACATATCATATAAGCATGGCAAACTTTTCTGTAGTGCTATTATTAATATATGCAATGTAAAAAAGATGACCAATCACAGTCAAACAGACTGAATTGAGTAAAAACACTTCACAGGTTTAGCTTCCTAGTAAAAACTTTAATAAAATAATAAAAGATCAATCTTTTGACAAGGAAATACATCCTGTCATTTTCAGGAACCCTGCAAAATTTTTGAGCCAATTCAGTCTGTTTGACTAGGATTGGTCATCTTTTTCTGTGATGCTTTAAGAAAGCAGAAACGTTTTCATATGCAATGTAGCTGCTTATATAGATTCAGGAGAGCAATGTGTACAGTCTGGAGTTCATGCAACTGTAGCTTTCACATCTCATAAGATGAGTCAGTTTTAGCAGCAGGTTACTGCTTCAGCTGTGGGAACTGCAGTACCTAAAACAGTAGAGAGACCACAATTTCTTTAATTGTGCATGATCATATACTTTGAGAGTTCTGAGTGAAAGGCTTTTTTTTTACCCACCACAAAAATATAACAAATGTTACGGTCAGCAAAGGACAAAAGGAACCCCCTCACCACTGCAGGAGTATACTGGATATCTTGCAGTTGTGGCCAAGTATATATTGGAACCACAAAATGCAGCATCCACACCAGAATCAAAGAACATGAGAGACACTGCAGACTAAAACAACCTGAAAAATCGGCAGTAGCTGAACATGCCCTAAAACAAGCTGGACATGAAATTCAATTTCAAAATACTTGAAGTACTGGACAACACCAGCAATCATTATGTTAAACTGCACAAGGAAGCCATTGTAATCCACAAACACCAGCAGAGCTTCAACAAAAAAGAAGAAAGTTTAAAACTCAACAAAGCCTGGCTCCCAGCACTGAAAAACACAGCCTGCAAAAGTTCAATGAACTCTACCCAGCTACAAGGACCAGTGATCATTGCACACAAAAGACCAGTTAACAATACCCATCAATCACAGTGACAGATAATCTCTCCCTCTTATCACAACAATACAGTACATCCACAAAAAAACACGCTGATCACCACAATCACCCATCTCCTGAAATGGGCAGAAGCTAATCCCACAGCTATACTTGACTATCCAAACAAACTGCACCAGAGCACAGACAGAGTTCTGACTCATGTCCTCTGAAGATGCTGACCACAGAGACTGACGAAACGTTAGGAAGAACAACCTTCAGAACACGGCCAAAAAGCCGGAAAAACCCACAAGAACCATCATATCCCGGCCGTGAAAGCCTTCGAGAATACAGTGCTACATTTGCTTGTGTTGTTTGCTGCTTTGAAGAGATGAACATTGAGATTAGATAGATGGCTAAAATGTACATAGTGCAAAGATTTCCTGGTAAACCTTGCTCAGACGGCTTAAAATGTCTTTTCTAATGGAGTCTACTTCCTGTTAATAGGCCTATTTGTCAAACCTTTTGATAACCTTCCCTCTGTTAAATGTCTAGAAAGTATTGATAGGAAAGTCAGATACTCTATTGTAGCTAGGAGACCCTTCTTACAAACCACTGCTACTTCAGTTGCTAGATCGTTGAAACAAAAATGAAAATGCATTATTAAACATATTAAAACACATTAGCAGAATTAAAGTGCTTAGTCACGAGTCTGTTGGAAAAAATAACAAACTTTCTCCTTACAATTTAAATATCTGTGGCCCATGCAATATCATGTCTTGATAACAGTATTATGGTTAAGATTCCTTGCATCAGTAGGTATATCACACAAGTATATATGCTTTACATGTGAAATTATATATTAAAGATGTAGGTGAGATATTTAATGTGTCTGTTTTATGTGACCTTTTATTTCTTACAGAATGATAAATAACATTTTTACATTTTGCTTAGTTACCTCTTGAATATACAGAATTGGATCCGGATTTATGCATCTGCTGTTGAGCTTCAGACCATATTTCGCGCTCTCCTCTTTCACCCACATTAAGAGGTTCTTTAATTCCTCCTCACTTTCTGCCATCAGAGTGGTATCATCTGCATATCTGAGGTTGTTGATATTTCTTCCGGCAATCTTAATTCCGGTTTGGGACTCCTCCAGTCCTGCCTTTCGCATGATGTATTCTGCATATAAGTTAAATAAGCAGGGGAACAATATACAGACTTGTCATACTCCTTTCCTAATTTTGAACCAATCACTTGTTCCATATCCAGTTCTAACTGTTGCTTCCTGTCCCACATATAGATTTCACAGGAGATAGATAAGGTGGTCATGCACTCCCATTTCTTTAAGAACTTGCCATAGTTTGCTGTGGTCCACACAATCAAAGGCTTTTGCGTAGTCAATGAAGCAGAAGTAGATGTTTTTCTGGAACTATCTGGCTTTCTCCATAATCCAGCGCATGCTAGCAATTTGGTCTCTAGTTCTTCTGCTCCTTCAAAATCCAGCTTGTACTTCTGGGGGTTCTCAGTCTACATATTGCTGAAGCCTACCCTGTAGGATTTTGAGCATAACCTTGATAGTGTGTGAAATGAGTGCAGTTGTATGGTAGAGCATTCTTTGGCACTGCCCTTTGTTTAGGATTGGAATGTAAACCGATCTTTTCCAATCCTTTCGCCACTTCTGAGTTTTCCAAATTTTCTGGGATATTGTGTGACCTTAACAGCGTCTTTTAAGATTTTAAATAGTTCATCTTCCCGTTATAATTCCTCTGTGTATTCTTGCCACCTCTTCTTGAAGTCTTCTGCTTCTATTAGGCTATACCATTTTTGTCCTTTATCATGTCCATCTTTGCACAAAAAGTTCCTTTGATATCTCCAGTTTTCTTGAACAGATCTCTGGGTTTTCCCTTTCTATTATTTTCCTCTATTTCTTTGCACTGTTAGTTTAAGAAGGCCCTCTTGTCTCTCTTTGCTATTCTTTGGAAGTCCGCATTCAATTTTCTGTATCTTTCCCTATCTCCCTTGCATTTTGTTTCCCTTCTCTTCTCTGCATCTTTGGACAGCCAGTTTGCTTTCGTGCATTTCCTTTTTTGTGGGGATGGTTCTTGTTGCTGCCTCCTGTACAATGTTACGAGCGTCCATCCATAGTTCTTCAGGTACTCTGTCCACCAAATCTAGTTTCTATTTCCTTAAATCTGTTCTTCCACTGTGTATTCATAAGAGATTTGGTTTAGATTATACCTGACTACCCCAGTGGTTTTTCCTATTTTCTTCAGTTTAAACTTGAGTTTTACTGTAAGAAGCTGATGATCAGAGGCACAATCAGCTCCAGGTCTTGTTTTTTCTGACTGTATAGAGCTTCTCCATCTTTGGCTGCCGAGAACATAATCAGTCTGATTTTGGTATTGCCCATCTGGTGATATCTTTGTTTAGAGTCACCTCTTTTGTTGTTGGAAAAGAGTGTTTGTGAGGACCATCTTGTTCCCTTGACAAAACTCTTATTAGCCTTTGCCCTGCTTCATTTTGAACTCCAAGGCCAAACTTACTTGTTGTTCTTTTTATCTCTTGACTCCCTAGTTTAGCATTCCATTCCCCTATAATGAGAAGAACATCTTTCTTTGGTGTCAGTTCTAGAAGGTGTTGTAAATCTTCATAGAATTGGTCAATTTCAGCCTCTTCAGTATTGGTGGTGGGTGCATAAACCTGGATTACTGTGATGATGAAAGGTCTGCCTTGGATTCGTACTGACATCACTCTATGATTTTTGAGATTGTATCCCAATACAGCTTTCCCCACTCTTTTGTTGACTATGAGGGCTACTCCATTTCTCCTACGGGATTCTTGCCCACAATAGTAGATATGGTAATCATCTGAATTGAATTCACCCATTCCCGTCCATTTTAGTTCACTGATGCCCAGGATGTCAATGTTTATTTTTGCCATCTCCTGTTTGACCACATCCAGCTCACCAAGGTTCATAGATCTTACATTCCAGGTTCCTATGCAGTATTTTTCTTTTCAGCATCGGACTTTCCTTTCAGTTCCAGGCACGTCCACAGCTGAGCATCCTTTCGGCTTTGGCCCAACCACTTCAGTAGCTCTGGAGATACTTGTACTTGTCCTCTGCTCTTCCTCAGTAGCATGTTGGACGCCTTCTGACCTGAGGGGCTCATCTTCCAGCGTCATATCTTTTAGCCTTTTGTTTCTGTCCATGGGGTTTTCTTGGCAAAGATACTGTAGTGGATTGCCAGTTCCTGCTCCAGGTGGATCGTATTTAGTCAGAACTCCCCACTATGACCTGTCCATCTTGAGTGTCCCTGCACGGCATAGCCCATAGCTTCTCTGAATTTCTCAAGCCCCTTCACCACGACAAAGGAGCAATCCATGAAGGGGAAATGTAGTAGAAAACTGGAATATCAAGTAACTTAAATAGTGTGCAACTTTCTTTCCTATATGTATCTGTCTACCTTCTTTTGGGGCATGGATGTTTTAATCTGTCACTTAATCTTCCTGGTTGTTATTTAGGGTGAAGATTTCTATGACATGTAATTTTTTTCTCTGCAGCCTATGTTTGATTTTATGGATGGGTTTGAACATGTTTATGAGTAATCTAGTAAGAAAGGCCAGATTACTCTTAAACATGTTCAGACCTGCTTATGGGTTCAAATGTAGGTAGCATAGAAAATGTGAAATGTCCTAGAAATCCTCTCCCTTATTTTTATTTTCTAGATGTTAGCTAATTGTTCAACATGGTACAGCTTAAAAATGTGTTATTTTCATGCAGTCTTGCCCAGTTTCCCAGACCAGTCAGTTCATCCAAGAGCTCCTATATGTCACGTAACTATTTCGTTTGGCAACTTGCCAAACACCAAGTCAAGTAATCTGATCATGAAAACTATCTCAATTATTGTCAAGCCCACTCACTTCTTAAAACAGGAATTTAGCAGGAGTGTACCAGTTTTGATAAGGCGATGAATTTATGCATTTATATTTATTTACATGTGTGAATTAAAATTAATTTATATAAGTTAAAACATTTTAAAAAATATTTAGGATATGTAAGTTCCAGGAACATTTCTGATGAAACTCTGTGTATACTAATGTCTGTATGCTTTGAGAAATTTCTGGGAGCAAAAGGAACATAAACATTGTAATCTTGCCATATAGTTTATTAATAAAAATTTTTAGGTTTCACTGTATCAATGTGCTTAATGCTTTAGAGCAGTGGTCCTCAACCTTTTCAGCCCTGCGGACCAGCTGAGGAAGGCAGGGCACCCCCCTGCACTTGTGTGCATGCGCGAAATCACGTGTTTCAGTTTGTGTACATGCGCGAAGGGCGGTGCACTGCTCATGTGTGCGCTTTTGCATGCTCAAAGGGCGGCACAGCACTTGCGCAGGCGCACGCACGCTCTCACACAGGTGCAAACAGGCTGTGGGGGGGAATGCGTGCAGGGGTAGGGAGGAGGTCTCTCTCCTTGCCCCAGTCCAGCTCAGGCCATGGACCAGCACGGACCACGGACCAGGGGTTGGGGACCTCTGCTTTAGAGTCTTACTTCAAAAGAACCTTTGCCTCTTGGCAATACACAGAAATTGAAAAGGCCAATAAAATTCAATTAGTACTCAGGCTAGTACTCAAGCCCAGAAATTTCCATTGAGCCAAAGAGATGAATCTCTTTCAGAAAGAGTAGCAATATAAGGATAAGGTGCAAATGACTGGCTAGTGGTGGCCCTGTTTTGAGACATGCTCTCTCAGTGTCTTGTCAGCGACCATTCTAATCTTATGTAAACATTAATGTGACTGAATTCATTAAAGACAACACTTGCTTGACAGTTTGTGTTGACAGTGCTTTCATTTGTAAAGCTGCATATTTTAAGGTTTATTAAATAAAATATTCTTTTCTCTCTTTTCAGTGATATGGCCTGTGGTTATACCAGATTACTTCATTCTATTCAGAAAGTCATTATCCAGCAAGGATATGATGGCTCTAATTCCCAGGTATTAATTTCTAGTTAAAAAGATGATGTGAGGGTGCCCAGAGTGGCCACTGCCTGAAACTCTCAAGAGCCATTGACAATCAGGGTCGGTTGTACAGGCCTCAATGGACTAAATGTATGTTAATCTGCCAGTAAAGATATTTTTAAGAGTAATCAAACAAGTTACTTTATAAAAAGATAATCTTCATAAATTATTTGTGTTTAGTGCAACTTGAAATCTGAGTTGGTGTCGGAAATATTTGTGGATGATTCTTTTGTTTTGTTGTTTTAAAAAATCCTTGAAATACTACAGTATCTTGCATCACTCTTTGCCATTCTATCTCATGTACACTGCTTCATGTGAATAAATTTCCATCACTATAGCCTCATGAGCACATGGAAAACTGCACCCCAACATTTATACAGTATATTGAATGCTTGGATCCCTGCCTTACTTTCTGTACAACCTTCCTTCAGCCATCTGTTTAATTGCCCTTGTTAACCCTAGGAGCAAACAAATGAACAAGTCTTTTTTGTATAAACCAATATTCCTACTATTGTTTTACAACAAATAATATTTACATTGAAGAATGAGAGTACCTAAATCTAAGAAGTTTATGACATTATTTAATATGCCATTGTTTAATCACTATGATTGCTTACAACATGCAATTATGGTTTATTTCAGCAAGATCCAGGAGAACTCTAATATTTTATCTATCCGCAATCAAAACAGTGGCTTAAATTCTGTTTGTGAGTTATGCAAACAATGTACCGTATTTTTCGCTCCATAAGACGCACCTTTCCATAAGATGCACCAATTTTTTAGGAGAAGAAAACAGGAAAATATAATATGTTTTCTGCGCTCCATAAGACGCACAGACTTCCTCCCCCCCCCGTTTTGTGGGGGGAAAGTGCGTCTTATGGTGCAAAAAATACGGTAACTTTTGGAAGCAAATTGCTGCAAGTTAAGAAATCTCCATAAACATTATCTGTTGCATATTGTGTCATGTGATTCAGCATGCAACATATAAGGTTAGCGGAGATTTCTTAAATTATGGCGGTTATGTTATTTGCGTACCTGTATAGCAGGATTTCATCTGGTAATATAATATTCTTTGCAATGGAACATCTTAATACTTTTTAGATCTATAAATCTGTTTTTTTTTCTTACTTGTTTCTAAATTGTAGGATTTCTTTATCAAACAGAGTTCTCCTTGTTAATTTTGTCATCATTCTGTTTAATTTTATGGGCAAGCATGTTTTCTATTTTAGTAGTAGGAGTGCCCTTTTGGAGAAATAAATTGGTTCCTAACAGGCACCTCTGCCTTTGTTGCTATAGTAACAGGCATGTCATAACAGTTCCCCAATACAGTATGCTAAGCTGCTCTTCTAACATGATGACAAGTCCTGTGGAAGCAGGAAAAAATAAGATTGATTTGAAAACCCTGGGAGCAAACAGAAAATAACCTGCTGCAGGAGAAAAGTTTAATTCTTTCCTCCAGGCACTGGGCAAGAGATTAAAAATAGTATCCAAGTATGTCCAGTGTGGGTACACATATTTTTGCACATTTACCTACACTACCAAAAGCTCCAGGCACACAAAGCCATTTCTAAAGCATGAAGAATAGCTTGTATTGTGTTTTTTCAAAGAATATGGAACAAAACATTTCATTTCTGGTAATGCTTACTTTTTTTATTTAAAATCTTTCGCCTGTAACAATAAAAACCAAAAGCAGCAGTTGCACATTAAAACAACAGAATAAAATGTGAAATAGCTGTGATAGATATTTAAAATAATTTCCTCAGCTTTTAAAGTTTTATTTATTAGAAGTAAAAATAGTTTAGTTCTGTGACATCCACTCATGTTCCAAAACACTTTGTAAAAATGAAGAACAAGCCAAACTTAGAAAGGAGATCCAGAGCCAGGATAAAACCACTGAAAAGGCCCTCAACGTGGTCTTAGCTAAGCATACATTAGGGGACACTGGGACATACATAAGGTGTAAAGATTGTAGCCAAAAGCCCTGATACCAACATCATACATACCGCCAAGCACTGTTGGTTTGATGGAATAAGGTGGTTCCTGAATGCAGTTGCCCCAGATGTGATAAATGCAATCAAAGCTGCAACTGAGCAATCATGTTTATGTCTCTGTTACTGCATTGTTGTACAACTATAGATGGCAAATACATAACATGTAGTCTCTTTTGAATTGTAAATAGAAGATTTTTTTTCCTTTTGGCAAATCATCTGTGTTTGATTGGGATATTTGTTTGTTTGTTTGTCTATTTATTTATTTATTTATTTATTTATTTAATATATTTTTACTACACTTTTCTCCTTAAAAAGGACCCAAGATGACTTGCTTCATTAAAAGACAGTATTTAAAGCTAAAAACAATGAGTATACAAAGGTGGCTTACATCATTCAAAGACAATATTTATCCTCTGAGATAGATTCATCTCCTGAGCAACTGTCATTATAAACTTAATTTGTTTTAAACTTGTTAGATTGTTTCTGTAGCCCAGGGTTGACTATTCTGACTGGCAGCAGCTGTCAGGTCACAGGACCATTACTTCCTACCTGACTATTATAATTATTTGTAAATAGAGATACTAGAGACAGAGTAGGATATTCTGCATACAAAATATATGCTACTACTAAGCTGTGGTTACTTCCAGTTACTGCCTTTATACTTACAGTACTTATGACCTTTGTAATCAGCTGTCCACCATTGCTATAACAGAAAATCCAGACAAAAGACAACTTAGTTTAGGGCTGCCATATTATATGATTGGCTAAGTTTTATCTGGATTTCAGATATGCCTAGAGCCATTTCTGACCATTTACTCTCTATGAAATGAAAAGGTACCCCTATTTTATTTTCCCTCTATATTACAGTACTTTACATTCTAGTGGCTTTTTTCTTTTTTTATATATAGAAAAAGCAAAGAAACATTTTGAGAATTGGAATTCAAAGCCTTGGTTCAGTTCTGTGGGGTGATGATATTTGCTGTACTGAGAGTCCACAAAATATTTACAGCCTCACAAAATTTCTGTATGCTCTCCGCGGCCTTCTCAGAACATCTCTGTCAGCTTGCATCATCACTATTCCAGCTCATCTGATCCAGGTAAGTGTAGTGCAGTCGCTATAACTGACAGTGCTGGTTGCAATAAAGCAAACTAATAAAACACTTCAGTATTGTGAAACCTCTACTTATGAATGTCGCTACCTACGAACAATCCAACTTATGAACAGCTCCGTTCGCAAAATTTTGCTTCTGCTTGCGAACGGATCTTCAACATATGAATTAAGAAAACACAGAGAAGGCAGGGAAAGTGCTAAATTTGAACTTTCAGTTGACCGTTGGCCAGCGAAGAGGCTGTTTGCCTGCTATCTCACTTGTCCCAGCAGTTAGGGAGTGGATAGGGAAAGAGTCTTCAGACTACCTGGTACTGTACAGAGTGTATTTTTTCTGGCTTTTTTATTTTTTATTTTATGATTTTTGACTTTTTTTTAAACAGAGAGACTGCCTGTTCTGGGTGAGTACATACACTGTACAGTATTTACTGTACTGTGCAGGTTTTTTGTAGCTTGGTGGGGGGGTAGGGCTAGGTGAGGGGGTTATGTTTCTGCGCCATGGGTCTTGCAGTGTGGATTTAAAATGTGAAAAGTAGACTGTAATATTAAATTAAAATTAAATGTGAAAATTAGACTGTAATTTTAAAATGTAAACTTTATTTATTTATTTTTGCATTCTGTGCCTTCTAGGGTTTGTTTACTGTGACCTCTCTGTTGTTTTAAAATGTGTGGGTTTAAAATGTGACTCCAAAGTCTTTTTTTCTTTGGGGATCTGTTTGCTGTAATAGTGGTTGCTGGTTGTTGATGCAGGCAGGCTGTAAAATGCATTTTAGACTCCACAGTCTTTTTTTTCTTAAAATCAGAAAATATTCTGTGAGGGGCTGTGCTGGCTGTTGATGCAGGCAGACTGTAAAATGCAGTTTAGACTCTCTTTTTGTGATGAGGAGTTCTGTGCTGGAATAATGCTTGCTGGATTCTGTGGCTTCTAGGGTTTGTGTACTGTGACCTGTCTTTTGTTTTAAAATGTGTGTTTAAAATATGGCTCTAAGGTCTGTCTCTTTTAAAATCAGAAAACTGTGGTGCTTGTTGATGCAGGCAGGCAGGCTTTAAAATGGAGTTTAAAATGGAATTTTAAAATGGAGTCTACTGTAGACTCAAGACTCTCTCCCCCTTGTCTTCTCTCTCTCTCTCTTCTCTCTTTTTGTGCTTAACAGCACAAACCTTCGTCTGAGGGGTCTGTGTGCCCCAGTGATGACCTTCTTTCTTTCTTTCCTCTTTTCCCCATTGTTCCTTCTCTCCCTCCCCCCTCCTTTCCTGCCCTTTTTTTAAGCTAAAAGGTGCTTGGTTTTCTTTAAAAGGTGCTTGGTTTTAAAGGTGTTCTGTTTAGAAGGTGTTCCCTCCCCCTCCCTCCTTTTCTGTCCTTTTTTTGATCCAAGTTCATCTTAGGTCAAAAGAAGAAAAATTCTCCCCCTAGTGGTAGAGGACAGATTAACTGGCTTTACATTAACTAATGCTTCGACTTAAGAACGGTGCCTCTAGATAAGAACCAAAAACAGCCAGGGCTGATTAAATGGTTTTCAATGCATTCCTATGGGAAATTTTTCCTTCTACAGTACTTACAAACATTTCAACTAATGAACATCTTCTGGGACAAATTAAGTTCGTAAGTAGAGGTTCCACTTTATATACTTACATGATCAGAGTACACTAAAATGGTAGTATTGAATTTCGACATTCTAATTTACTTTGATTGTGTTTCTTCTGATTTAACTTAGTATCATATATTTATTCAGTAGCAGGTATTTCTTGATTATGTATTGTGTTTCATTTAGCTAAATACAATTCATTTACTATATTTGCTGGCGTATAAGACGACTTTTTGGCCCTGAAAAACATGCCTCCAAGTGGGGAGGTCATCTTATACACCGGGTGCACTTCAACCCCAACAGGCAGAGCTTCACCAATATTCCCAACTCCCAAATACACCGCTCCCGGTTCTCGGACCCAACAGTTCTCCCTCAGGGTCTGGCCGCACGGCTCCCACTGTTCGAGCTGCTCAAGTTGGACTCCCTGCAGGCACAATCCACGGAGCCAGTTTTCAAAAGTATCTCTCCCCACCTCGTCTCACCTCATCTCTCCAGTTTGTCTCGCTGGTCCTCTGGAGGGAAAGAGAGTCACCCAGGCAGCAGAGTCCTCCCAGCAACAAATTGGAGGCAGCACTTCTCTGGTTTGTCTCGCTGGTCTTCCGGAGGGAAAGAGAGTCGCCCTGGCAGCAGAGTCCTCCAGGCAACAAACAGAGGCAGCACTTCAAAGTATTTCAGACGTTTTGAAACAGACACCTCACGACCCCAGACACCTCAGCTCGCAAACGAACAGGCAGGTTGAAGAAAGGAGACACAGGGCACAGGGCAAACGCCAAAAGAATTCAAAAAAAAGGAAAAAAAGGAAAAGAAAAGATAAGAAAAGATAAGAAAAGAAAAAAAGAACCAGACCAGAAAACAAACAGCATGTTTCCAGAGTCCCTCTGGGTTGTGGGCTGCCTGCCTGTGTTCCTGAGAAGCATCTACCCGTCCATAGGGTCCACTTGGAGTGTTGCTTGCACTGAAGAGGAGAGGTGTTGTCTTTAGTGAATTACATTTATTAAACTTGCACTGTTTTATGTTTACTGTACATGTTTGATAACATACCTTGTGACAGTTTTCCTGCATGTCATAAGCATTTGAATATAAACTAACATGTTGAAATCAAATCTGATGTTCTTTTACCTTTTATTTGGTGTGTGGAAGGTGTGCGGAAGAGGGAGTAGTCTTATACGGCGAGTATATAAGGAAATCTATATTTTGAGTGGAAATGTTGGGGGGTCATCTTATACGCCCAGTTGTCTTATATGCCGGCAAATACGGTACCAAAGTTTAAGCAAGAATCTGCTTACACAATGGAGTCCTTTACCCCCACCGGAACTTCCTGTGTGTTCGAAATACTACTCTAAAGGGACAAGCTATCCTGTAGAATGTCATACATGAGGCTCAGAGGGTGGCCACAGAGCAGTCGAATCAGTAGAATGAGAAGAAGGGGCTGCTTTGTACCTTTTGCTCATAAGACAGCTTTGGGTATGAGACATAGGTCTACATTCACTGTGCTACTGGCAGTGCTGCATCAGTGTGATGTAACAGAGTTCCCTTCCCTACTTGGGTCTCCAGAGCTGAACTCTGAAATAAAAAGATTTTTGGAATAGATTTTCAGATTCACAGGGGTTCACAGCAAGAAGGAGAGATCACCCTACTGTTTTGTTGCCAGAGATCCAACATGGGCCTTAGTCATTGTTTTGAAATGAACTGAAATAGCAGATGATTCTCAATACATTTAATAAGTGTATCTTTTCATGTGACAACACTGAAGAAATAACACTTGTCTACAATGTAAATCAGTGAGTATATAGCTTGTATAACAGTGTAAATGTGCTGTCCCCTCAAAATAACACAACACACAGCCATTAATGTCTAAACAACTGGCAACAAAAGTGAGTACACCTCTAAGTGACAATGTCCAAATTGGGCCCAAGCAGTTGTTTCTCCTCTCTGGTGTCATGAGACCCGTTAGTGTTACCAGTTAGTGTGAAAGGGGAGCAGGTGTTATCACTCTTACTCTCTCAGACTGATGACTGGAAGTCCCACATGGCACCTCATGTTAATGAGCTATCTGAGGATCTAAAAAAACGAATTGTTGCTCTACATAAAGATGGCCTAGGCTATAAGTAGATTACCAGAACCCTGAAACTGAGCTGCAGCATGGTGGCCAAGACCTTTCAGTGGTTTAACAGGACAGGTGCCACTCATAAATAGGCCTCACCATGGCTGACCAAAGAAGTTTAGTGCCCGTGCTCTGCGTCATATTCAGAGATTGGCTTTGGGAAATGGACGTCTGAGTGCTGCCAGTATTGCTGCAGAGGCTGGGGGGAGGGTTTCAGCCTGTCAGTGCTCAGACCATACACCACATACTGCATCAAATTGGTCTCCAGGCCTGTAGTCCCAGAAGGAAGCCTCTTCTAAAGATTCTGCACAAAAAAGCTTGCATATGGTTTGCTGCAGACAAGCAGACTAAGGACATGGATTTATGGTCGAATGAAACCAAGATAAACTTATTTGGTTCCGATGGTGTCAAGCGCGTGTGGCAGCAACCAGGTGAGGAATACAAAGACAAGTGTGTCGTGCCTACAGTCAAGCATGGTGGTGGGGGTGTCATGGTCTGGGGCTGCATGAGTGATGCCGGCACTGGGGAGCTACAGTTCATTGAGAGACTCACGAATCCCAACAAGTACTGTGACATACTGAAGCAGAGCATGATCCCCTCCCTTTGGGCTGTAGGGCAGTATTCCAACATGATAACGACCCCAAACACACCTCCAAAACGACCACTGGCTTGCTAAAGAAGCTGAGGGTAAAGATGATGGACTGGCCAAGCATGTCGCCAGACCTAAACCCTATTGAGCAGCTGTGGGGCATCCTGAAATGGAAAGTGGAGGTGCACAAGGTCTCTAACATCCACCAGGTTGGTGATGTCGTCATGGAGGAGTGGAAGAGGATTCCAGTGGCAACCTGTGAAGCTCTGGTGAACTCTATGCCCAAGAGGGTTAAGGCAGTGCTCGAAAATAATGGTAGCCACACAAAATATTGATACTTTGTGCCCAATTTGAACATTGTCACTTTTGTTGCCAGTGGTTAAGACATTAATGGCTGTTTTGCATTATTTTGAGAGGACAGCACATTTACACTGTTATACAAACTGTATACTCACTGCTTTACATTGTAGGCAAGTGTCATTTCTTCACATGTGACATGAAAAGATATACTAAAATATGAAATGTGAGGGGGCGTACTCACTTCTGTGATATACTGCAGGTGTTAACATATTATTATTTTTTTCAAATATGTAATATAAAAGCAAATTAAAGGCATAACATGCATCTAAGTCAGGGTGGGGCCTTCTAGGTGTTCTTAGCCTGGTCTCTACAAGTAAGGTGACTTACTGGAAGTATATGTTCAAATAACC